TACTTCTAGGTCCGCTGACCACCCCTTCAGGCTCAGGAAGTTGCCAGGTCTGAGGCTGATGGCATCCTCCCTGGGACCTCCTCACCTACAAATTTATGTAAACCTCCTCAAATTATCCGGATCAGATACCCCATTTGTTTCTGGCGAGATCCGACTGGCACAGTAAAGGCCGTCATCATTGTACATACAGTAGAGCTGACGTGCACTGAGCATGTACTATCCGCAGGCCCTGTTCGCAGCCCCTGACCTGTGGAAGCTCAGGCGACACTCACGGCAGCCCTAGGAGGTAGGCGCTAGTGCACCCGTGTCACAGGTGAGGATGCTGAAAGAGGCACAGAGAGGCTGAGCAGCTTGCCTGAGGTCACACAGCCACTAAGTGACAGCGCTGGGATTTGAACCCTGGCAGCCTCACTCAAGCCCCTGCTCTCGTTGACCCTTCTAGGTAGAAGGAGGATTTCTGTGGCAACAACACACTGTTTCCTCGAAGTCTCTTATCCAACTCAGAAGCAAGGTTTGGGGACATTTTAAAAGGCAAGACTCCACTGTGAGACTTTTTTCTTTCCTATGAGTCCCCGGAAACTCCAGCAAGGCTCGAAGGCGACCTCCTGAGGGTGACCTTCCCCTGAAAATTCCCACAGTGCTCCTTGGGACCCAGTCTGTTTTCCCTCACCTGGAGGGGGAGGGGGCTGGAGCAGGTGCACATGAGAGCCCCCCACACACACACACACAAGCAAACCAGCCTCTCACATTCAGGGGTTTGTGTGTCATTCCTATGGTTCTGCTGCACGACTGGATGTCCCCCAGGCCCAGCAGGAGCTCCAACTGGGTTTGGGGTTTTCAAAAAGGAAAGGAAGATAAAAGGGACCGTATTCGTTCTTGCAATGGGGATGTTGAATGGAGCAGTGGCGTTAGCATGTTGGAATCTTTTTTTTTTTTTACTAAATTAATTTTTATTGGTGTTCAATTTACCAACATACAGAATAACACCCAGTGCTCATCCCGTCAAGTGCCCCCCTCAGTGCCCGTCACCCATTCACCCCCACCCCCCGCCCTCCTCCCCTTCCACCACCCCTAGTTCGTTTCCCAGAGTTAGGAGTCTTTATGTTCTGTCTCCCTTTCTGATATCTCCCACACATTTCTTCTCCCTTCCCTTATATTCCCTTTCACTATGAGAATGGGGAAAATTAACAAGGCAGGAAACAACAAATGTTGGAGAGGATGCGGAGAAAAGGGAAGCCTCTTACACTGTTGGTGAACTGGTGCAGCCACTCTGGAAAACTGTGTGGAGCATGTTGGAATCTTGACCTCGAAGGGTGCTGCTAGGGCAGGCATGGTCTCCACCCTGGCTCCTTCCTGGGAACCACTTTGCCACACAGTGGCCCCGCTGGCGAGTGCACTACCCGCAGTTTACACTGTCCTAGCTCAGCCAGCCTGGGAGGGGAGGGGCGGCTGGCTTGCCCTGCGGTGCCAACGACAAGTCCCAGGGCAGGATCTTTTTTTTTTTTTTTAAGATTTTATTTATTTATTCATGAGACACACACACAGAGAGAGAGAGAGAGAGAGAGAGAGGCAGAGACACAGGCGGAGGGAGAAGCAGGCTCCATGCAGGGAGCCCGATGTGGGACTCAACCCCGGGACTCCAGGATTACGCCCTGGGCCGAAGGCAGGCACTAAACCGCTGAGCCACCCAGGGATCCCCCAGGGCAGGATCTTACTGGCCCAACTTGGGTCCTGAGTTTGTCCACGAACTACTCACTGTGCCCGGCGAACGGAGGGCTGGGCTAGGCCAGACTAGAGCACGTGTTCCCTCGCAACTAGGACAGAAAGTTGTCAGCCTCTCCTGGAGCCACTGGGAGGAGTAGCTCCCTGGAGGGAGATCGGGCCCGGGGTGCTATGGACATGTGCGGACATGGGCGCGGCTCTGGGGAAGGTGCCTGCAGGCCCCACGGCAGCACGACTCCTGAGATGTGTGTCCTGGGACAGAGGAGGGGATGCGTGAGGACCAGATGGGTCAAAGGGGGCCCAGGAAGGACCCACGGGGCAAACTTGGCCCAGGCCAAGTTCGGACCGGTAGAAGCTGCTCGGGTTTCTGGTACCTTGGCAACTTCCTTTTCCATCGGCGAGCAGCGCGGAAGCAGAGTGGGAGCCCATCTGGTGTCTTCCTGAGGAATTGTCTTCACAGAGCCGGGGAGCGGCAGGCCTTGCGGAGGTGAGGACCTTGGGGCTGTGCACATGGAACCCAGGCTTTGAGGGGCTTGTCCTGCCTCAGTAGAGGCCTGGGAAGCTGACAGAAGCCTTCACTGGGGGATGGGAGGGCATGGAAGAGGGAGTGACTCGTAGGTCAGGCTGGCATCGCCTGCCCCTGAAAAGCTGCTGCAGGTGGGACAGCTGGATTGGCCTGTCCCCTGGTGAAGGGAGGCCGGTGAGTAGCCCGTGGCTTGTTTGAGCAGCAGCAAAAGGCCAGGAGTAGTGGCCCCTGGGCCATGCATGTCTGCAGTGTCACTCCATGGCTCCCAAGGACCGTGCGGCGAGGCACTTGAGAGTGGCTTGCCTGGGCCTTCCCAGCCAGGGGCCCTGGGGCGGGACTGGAACACAAGTCCGTCCCCAAAGCTCAGGTCTTCAAATGGGGGCTACAGTTCCTGTCCAGGGAGACGCGGGAGAGTGTCCTCCAGGGAGGAGGCGGTCAGCCTCCGGAGGAGAGGCTCTCACGACTGGGCCATAGGGACCTGGGTGGAGGTCGCAGAGACGTGGCCCGAGCGGTCAGCATAGCCTCCTGGAGGCCATATGTTTAAAAAAGAAAAACAGCTTAACTGAGATGGACGTCATGGACCGAACAATTAACCCATTTCAAGTGTACAAATCACTGGGTTAGTGTGACCACAGGGTTGTGCAACCGTCACCACAGTCAATGTCAGGGCATTTTCTTCACTGCCCCCTCTCCCCTAAAAGTCCCCTGTAGCCACTGGCGCGCTCGTTCCCTGTGCCCCGCCCCCAGCCAGTTGACTTTCTGTCTCCGTGGATTTGCCTGTTCTGGACACTCTGTGCGAATGGGATCCGACAGGAGGCGGCCCCGTGAAGGGTCGCAGGGCTCTTCTCATGTCCCAGCGTCTAAGAGTGAATCTCGCGGACACAAAAGAATGAAATGAAGTGAAAGTTTATTAGGCGAGGGTGAGAGCCAAAGGGAGAGGAGAGAGCTCTCTAGAGGGAGGGGTGTCCCCCGGGGATTGCCCAGGTGGGGTGGGGGTGAGGGGGCTTGCTGGCCACCTCCACTGCGAGCTGACCAGGAGGCCTGTGGCCCTGAGACGGCTGCGCCACGTCGGGTTGAGCGAGCACTGCTGATAACACTCTTGCTGGCTCACTCCTCTGCGGTCTAGTCGCTTTGGGACTACAGTGTAGCGGCCCCCGAGATATGCTCTGACATCCAGGGCCAGGCGGTCCACTTTGCTCTCTTACCTGCGGTTTTCTTGGTTTTGTCCGCCTCAGCACTTCCCCCCAGTTGGGGTCCTGTGCGCAGGGTCCTCAGGGTGTCTGGGGCTTCCCTCTCTCCCCGCCTCCACCTTCATTAACCCTTTCCTTACTCAGTCCTCCTGCTTCTTCCTTGGAGTGTCTTTGCCAGGTGCATCCAGGCTGAAGCCTGGGTCAGTGCCACATTCCTGTTCATGGCCCAGTCACCTACCGTTGCACAGAGCGCCCGTGTTGTGTTGATCTGCTCATGGGCTGGCGGACACTGGGACTGTTCCCACCTTTTCATCAACGTAAGCAGTACTGCTACGGACACTCAGGCACGAGCATGTGTGAACATGTGTGTGTGTTTCCAGGCAGTGCAGCCCTGAGAGGGGGCCTACTGTGTCACGCACTAACTCCATGCTTCACCTTCTGAGGAGTGGCCAGGTGGTCTCCTGAAGCGGCTGCACAGTCTTCTAGTCCCTCCTCCAGGCTGTGCTGCCTTGAGGCACAGAGATCCTCTCCTCTCTCACCTCCACCAGGTGGACTGGGCCAAGGCAGGGCGTGTGGGGAGCAGGGCCGAGGCATGGAGGGCAGGGTCTGGATGCGTGGACTCGGGCCTGGTTCTGTCTGCTCAGCCCGTGTGTGGCCTCGGGCGAGGCTCCTCCTCTCCTTTATGGTTCTGTTTTCTCCTCTGTAAAACGAAGGCCTCAGGCCAGTGGGTCTCGGGGGGACACGGGGCAGAGGCTGGAGACACTTCTGGTGGTCACAGCGGGTGGGGACGCTCCAGGTATCTGGTGTGTGGAGGTCAGGGTGCTGCCGGACACCCCACGGGACCGGGGCAGCCCCCACAGCAGTTACCTGGCCCCAAACGTCGGCATGCCAGGGCTGAGGAACCCGGTGTGATACTCGGGGGGACCTGTGGAGACTGGTCCTGTCCCGTCGCTGTGAAAGGCTCTGAGGGCAGCAGGCTCGGGACGCATTTTGAGGGCCCAGGCACTTAGAAGACAGGCCTCCTGGTCCCACAGGAGTGGCCTGGCTGCTGTATTTGCATGATCTCGAGGGCTGCCTGGCCCTGACCCCACCTGGGTGCGTTGCACGCTTCCCTCGGACTACCTTGTAAAGCAGTGAGTTCCTTGTTAGTGGAGGCATGCAAGGCCACCTGTCAGGGACGTGGAGGCGGCCGCCTGCCTCTGGTCTGGGGCTGCCCCTGGCTGAGTGCTGGGCTCCTTGAGGCAGGAGGCTGAGGCTCGTGGCTCTCGGCTTCCCCAGCCGCCAGTGGGTGCAGCCCCCCTCCCCGCGCCTTCCCGCCCTCGGGCTCTTCCCCCTAGGAGGGTGGGAGACTTTTCCCTGAGTTTCCCTCCGGGCACCTGCTGCGGGACCCCCCCCCCCCCCCCCCCCCGCCTGCGGGCTTCCGTGTGCCCGGCTCGGGCTGGGCTGGGCTCGGCCGCGGCGTCCGCAGACAGCCCTTGACCACCAGGGCCAGCCTCTTCCTGAAGGCCCCGCTCGCCCCGATACAGGAAGTGGAGGCGAGAGGCCCGGGGCGCGGCGGCGGCTCCCACTCGGCGGCGGGGCGGCGGGGCCATGCGGGCGCCCGGGACACGGCGGCCCGCGCCGCCCGCCGCCTGAGCCCCCCGAGCCGCGGAGCAGCGGCCCGAGCCCCGGAGCAGCGGCCCGAGCCCCCCGGAGCAGCGGCCCGAGCCCCGGAGCAGCGGCCCGAGCCCCCCGGAGCAGCGGCCCGAGCCCCGGAGCAGCGGCCCGAGCCCCCGAGCAGCGGCCGGAGCCGGCGGCATGATCCGACGGGCCGGGGCGGGCGCGCGCGGGGGCCCCGCGGGGTAAGTCCGGGGAGCGCCCCTCTGCCTGCGGCCCGGGCGGCGTCGGGGCGTCGGGGCGGGACCCCGGGGGCGGCGGGACCCGGACGCGTGGCCCTGCGGGAAGCCTGGACGGCCCGGCGCGCGCACCGGGGAGGCTGGGAGCTCCCGTGCCGCGAGCCGCAGAAGCCGCCCCCCGGGGCCGCGTCCCGCCAGCCCCCGGGATCCCCGCCCTCGGGCAGCCCGGGGACGCCCACCCGCGGGGACGCCGGGGGGGGGTCGGGGCGCGGGGGCCCTCGGGAGCGCGCGAGGCCGCGGCTCGGCGCCTGAAGCCCCACTCGCTCGGGGACCGGCTTTCGGGAGCGGCTGGGGCCGCCGCTTGGGGCGAGCGCCCGGACCGAGAACCCGAACTCGCTTCTGGGCGAGGCTCAGGGCTGCGCTCCGCCCTGCGCCCTCCGCCCTGCGCCCTCCGCCCTCTGCCCTCCGCCCTCCGCCCTGCGCCCTCTGCCCTCCGCCCTGCGCCCTCCGCCCTGCACCCTCTGCCCTGCGCCCTCCGCCCGGCGCCCTCCACCCTCTGCCCTGCGCCCTCCGCCCGGCGCCCTCCACCCTCTGCCCTGCGCCCTCCGCCCTCCACCCTCTGCCCTGCGCCCTCCGCCCTGCGCCCTCGGCCCTGCGCCCTCCGCCCTGCGCCCTCCGCCCTCTGCCCTGCGCCCTCCGCCCTCCACCCTCTGCCCTGCGCCCTCGGCCCTGCGCCCTCCGCCCTCCACCCTCTGCCCTGCGCCCTCCGCCCTCCACCCTCTGCCCTGCGCCCTCCGCCCTGCACCCTCCGCCCTGCGCCCTCCACCCTCTGCCCTGCGCCCTCCGCCCTCCACCCGCTGCCCTGCGCCCTCCGCCCTGCGCCCTCGGCCCTGCGCCCTCCGCCCTCTGCCCTGCGCCCTCCGCCCTCCACCCGCTGCCCTGCGCCCTCCGCCCTGCGCCCTCCGCCCTCCACCCTCGGCCCTCCGCCCTGCACCCTCCGCCCTGCGCCCTCCACCCTCTGCCCTGCGCCCTCCGCCCTGCACCCTCGGCCCTCCGCCCTGCTCCCTCCGCCCTCGGCCCTGCGCCCTCGGCCTTGCGCCCTCCGCCGGGAGAGCTTCCCCAGGTGCCGGCCGGCCCCCCCCCTGCAGGCGGACTCTCGGGAAAGCCTCGCAGAGCCCTTCTGGGTGCCAAGGCTTAGGGGCGCCCCCCCCCCGGGCTGCCGTTCCTGGCTTTCTGGTTTAAAAACCCCGGGGCCTCCTCCAGAGCGAGCGGGGCGCCCCGCCGCCGCCCGGCCTAGCCGCCCCCCTCCCCGCCCCGGCCTCCAGCTCTCCTCTCCTAAAACAAGGGGAATGGGCAGATCTGCGCTGCGCGACGGGAGGGGGTAACCGGTTCCCACCCCGGTGGGAGGGATGGCTCCGAGGGGCCCTTAACTCTTCTGCATCTGAATGCCCCCTCCTCCCATCGAGGCCCCTCCTGGGAAATTCTGCCTGGATGTTTTCCCTTGGAAGTGACCTCTGCAAAGACAAACGTCATCCGGTGGGAAGAATTGGACATTATGTAGGGGAAGGGGCCCCTTCCGCTGGTTTCTACCACACCCAGTATTTCAAGGTGGAGCAGGGAGGAGTTTCCCAGGGAGAAAGGAGAGGTGGGGGGCCAGGGTCCTGACCTCTCCGCGCCCCTCCACCTTAGGAATGACAGCAGAATGACATCGCCTTCCCCATTTCCTTTTGTCTTTGTTCCCTACTGGGTCAGTTACTTAACCTCTCTGTGCCTCAGTTTACTTACATCTATAAAATGAAGACAAATAATAGTTCCTGCCCTCACACAGTTGTTTTGAGGGTTAAATGAGATGATGCATAAGGAGTTTTGCACATTGGGGCCCCTGGGTGCCTCAATCAGCAGAGCATCTGATTCTTGATTTGGGTTCAGTTCATGATCTCAGGGTCCCAGGATCCAGCCCTGGGTCAGCCAGGGGTGGGGCTCCCTGATGAGCAGGGAGTCTGCTTGAGATTCTTTCCCCCGCCCCAGAAAGGGAGATGCTCCTCCCCCTGCTCATACATTCCCTTACTCTCTCTCTCTCTAAAAATAAACAAATCTTAAAAAAAAAAAAAAAAGCTTTGCACATTCACCCATAAACTCTTAATACTTATCGTTGATAACAGTAGTTATCTCTGTTTACCATCTATTTAACCTTGGACGGGAGACCTGGCCTTTGCCTCATGTGTAAACTGGGAGGTCACAGTAACACTCACTTCATCGGATTGTTATGAGGTTTGGATGAATTGATATTTAAGCAGCTGCCTACAGGCAGTTAAGGGTTAACACACCAGCCCAGGCCTGCTCAGAACAGTCCTGGCACATTGAATATTGGCTTGTTGCTAAAAACATCACTTTATTTAAGAGGACCTTTTGTGTGGGAGGGTTCCTAAAGGGTACCTCACCGAACCTTGGGCCTGGTACAGGCGGGAATCCCTTTGAGAACATTCCTGGAAGGTACTTGCATACCTCCAGGGCCCAAGAGCTTGTTCCTGTGGCAGCTCTTTGACAGGTGCACACCTAAGGAATTCCTGAATGTGAGCTGCCCCCTGCCCTCCCCTAGCTTCTGCTGCAGGAGACCCAGTCCTTCTTGACCTTCAGGCACTATAAGGCAGTTCTCGGGTGCACTCCCATGCATCACCTATTCCTGGGCTGCACCTCCACCTGTGTTGCAGCCCAAAGATGATGAGGAGTGATCATCTACAACTCCAACCCCCAGGCCACCCCCAGGCCCTGCTGACCCTCAGGGCTGAGATCTGAGTCCTCAGTGAGGACTCTTCTTTCCACTTGGCTCCCCAAAACCCCCTCCTCGCAGCCAGGAGATGATGTTCGGACAGCCAGGGAGCATGCCTGTCTCCCTCACCCCGCGGGAGCTAGGATAGTGTCAGGTGGGTGTCAGCCCGCTGGAGGAGGAGTGGGAGGATTTGGCAAAAGCAAGCTCCATCTACTTCTTGTTGAGAGTGTCAGCTAGAGAGAAAGAAAAAGCGGACAGGCTGTCCAGGGAGGTGGTGTTTGGGAGAGGCCTAAAGGAAGTGGCAGAGCAAGACAAGTCCCTGGAGGATGCTGCTGGCATGTCAGGAGCCTGGAGGCCAGGGGCCATGGAGTAGAGAGTGTGGGAGATGAGGACAGAAGGTGGTCTGGTTGGGTAACGGCTTTGGAGAGTGCCAGGTGCCACCGATAGGGTTTGCGCAGAGAGGTGGTCTGATTGGCACTGGGCCATGGTGCAGATAGACTGTTGGGGGAACAGAAGCTGGGACAGGGAAATCTGCAGGGAAAGAGGCTTTTGGGGAGGCAGGAGGGAGGGCTGCGGGCTAGGGTGCTGGGCTGGTGACTTGGAGGTGAGGTAGGAGAGGACGGGGCATTGAGGATGAGCCTGGTGACTCTGTGACCTGCCAAGAGGCCAGCGGCCAAGCTGTGCAGGGGTCACTGAGGACGTGGACACGCAGAGCTCCCACTTTTATATGTCTGATCAATTGAGAGTCTGCTTGAGATTTTATTTGAAAAAGGATTTCACTCTTGGATCTAATTCAGCGAGGGAAAGGCAACCCAGAAAGAGGAAGTGACTTAGCCAAGGTCTTAGGAGGTGGAGGCGAGACTGGGCTCAGAAATCGGGTCTCCTGGGCCCTGGGCCTGCAAGGGGCTGCCTGGGCCAATCCCCAAGGTTTGGGAGAGGCTGACATGGTGCAGGGGTCCTGCTGAACCCCTTGAGATGGGTCCCCCAAGCACTACAGGAGCTATGACTGGGGGCTCTTCTGGGCTGGGGCCCACCCAGACCTGGGATGAATTCAGGGTCCCAGGTCCCAAGTCCCAGCTCCAGCTCTGTCTGCGGACCTGGCCTTCCTGACTTTCAGGGGCTCAGGCTCCCAGGTGGTCCTGGTGGGCGCTCAGCTGGGAGACCCACCCCCTTCCAGACCCTAAAAGAGGCTCTGGCCCATGGGCTGCGATGGGTTACCTGAGCAGCTAGGGCCTGTACTTCCGGGCCACACACCACCTGGGAAGCGTGTTGGGGAGGAGGGGGTTGGCCCAGGGTCTGCTTGGGATGGGGGAGTCTCAGCACATTTGTCCCCAAGGCCCTCCCCCTCATCTCCCCTACCACTTGCAAGGACCTATCCTAGGTCTGGGCCCCTGTGTGGGGATCTTTACTGAGGTTGAAAGCATTAAAAGCTTCAAATCCTATGAAGACACCTGCATTTTAATCCAGGAGATCAAAAAATAAAAGACAGAAAGGAACCCAGGATAGGTATGCTCTGTGAAGGGGGCCCCAGGGGTGCCTCGCAGCCAGGGGTTGGAGCGGGGGTGGGGTGTGGACAGGCAGCCACCAGCTCCGTCCTCTCTATCCCATCACAGAGGCCATCGGTCCCTTCAGTGGCGGTCACCCCAGTGCCACCCAGGCAGGGATGAATGAGCAGAGCTGTGTAGGCAGCAGCATTGAGGAGTGAGGACAGGACTGGAGGGGAGAAGCTTCTGAGCAAAGCCCCGGGATGGGGAACCGTAGAGTGGGGTTTCGGCAGGGAGAGTCTGCCCTTGGGTCATCAGAGCAGGGGAGGTGAGTCTTGGCTGGACGTGCTGAGGGAAACAGCCTATGTGGGAAGGAAGCCCATCCTCAGCGTCCGGGTTGCTGTAGCGTTTTGAAGAGCCTGTGTCCCCAGAAAGAGCCCCCACCAGGGGCGGGTGACTCAGAAAAGTCTCGGGCTTCCTGTGCACCCCTAGCTGTCTTCCCCCAGAAGGGAGTGAGTGCCCGGCGTCCCCTTGTTCTTGGCAAGTTGGCTTGGGGACCATGAGCGCTACTCTGGCGGCCACAGCTTAGAGCTTCTGGCCATGTAATGACTGTCACCCTGGACCTGCCATTTATCCCACCCCACGGGCGTCCAAAACACATGTTTTCAGAAGCTAAAGATGAGAACTGGGATCTTAATGACTCTTATTTATTCTTCTGCTTTTTAAAGATATTTATTCATTTATCTATTTAT